TTAAACCTTTCTCTCACTGTGCGTGTGTGCGTGAGTGTGTGCGTGCGCGTGTTGACGTGCCGAGGAACACACACTGGGGTCAGAGCACAACTTGTGGGAATTGGCTCTCTCCTTCCACTGAGTGGGTCTCAGAGGCCAAACTTGGGCTGTCAGGCTTGGCAGCACGCACCTTTACTGGCTGTGCCAACTTGCCACTGCCCTTCCATTTCTAATCACGGCCCAGTTCCACGAACCCAGTGCTACAGAAAGAACAGTATTATCAACAGAGCCACAGTCAGCTCACAAGGACATGGCTGTGCTCTCCATGCTACAGATGCTGTGAGCTTGGAGCTAAAGTTCATGGCATTAAAAAGCTTACTCATGTTCACAAATACATGTTCTCAATAGCAGAACCTGTAAGTTAGCATCCACAAATCAGTTATTAGCAAGGTCACAGAAACCTAAATTAAAGAAATGCAAAGCCCAAATCTAATTTAAGAAAACAGATATCCCACCACTTTGACCCTAAGGCATGTTGGTAAGCTCAAGCAATCACCTGATGCGAACTTTCAGGGCTAGAGCGAACCCCTGTGAGGACGGTGGTGTGTAGTACAGGAGGCCATCCTGAGGAAGTGTCCTACTAAGCGTAAAGGAGGAGTACACAGGCAGTGCATGAGGGCCAAATGCTAACAAACAACCCTTACGACTGTCCCATCCCAAGCAAGTCTGCACCTGCTTATAAAACATGGATACTGGGGTTGTTCTGATTTATTTTGTCTTTCATAAAACTGTAGAGAAAAGAGTTGTTGGAGTATATTCAGCCACTGGTCCATTTTCAGGTCTATGATTTTTTTTTTCTTTCATTTTAGTCTGAGGGGAAAAAAACCAATCTCCCATCTGGCTGAACCACAATGAGCCTGTGAGAAGCCAGAAAGCGCATTCTGGCTACGCTCTATTTCTTTGTTATGCCCTGCTCAGCCACAGCACACAATTCCATCTACCGATGACACGGGCCAGAGGCACCGCAGAATAGTGGAAATTATGGAATCTCACAGCAATGAAAAAGCAGACGCATGCTCTGGATGACAGGGGGCGGCAAACGGCCAGTGATTATAAAAACACTCACACCCCACACCCTCCCCGTCTCCTGACTGCTCTTCACTCCAGCCGTGAACATCTCCACATACAATAGCATCTTTCCCTGGACCACGGCAGTGGCATCCTCAGCTCTTTTCAGATCTTCGTGTTCACCTCTCAGACCCGAGTACATTTCCTAGAACAGTTCCCACATACGGAACGGCTGCATTTACAACGTCCCTGGCAGTGTTATAGGTATGGTATCCACTGATGGACTAATCTTCCCTATTCTTTCACTTTGTTAAAAAAGAAACGGATTACTGGTGATACATGTAGATAGCTTCTTCAGGCAAGTTCACAAATCTGTTTCCTAAGATGGCGCTGCTAATGATCTTAGCTTCTTTTGAAAAGACTTGGGCAGACATATTCTAATCACCAGAATATGATTGTCTCACAGTAAAAAGCAGAGGAAATGCTAATCAACAAGGGATTTAATCAACCCACCTAAAACTCAGATGAGGAGACAGACGACAAATTCTTTGAGACTTGTTTCTCGGGTTGCTTTGAACAGCAACTTAGAAAATTAGTAGAAAAGGTGTTTCTGATGCACTTGCTTTTCCCAGGACGGCCACCAGGATGGAGAAAGCTGCAGACATTGGCTTTGCTCTGTGTCTGCTGACGGACTCAGCATCAGACTGTTCACCTTGTCTTTAGCCATGTCCCCCGCCCCCGCCCCCCCCCACCCCAGTTTGGCTCTCTGGCCTGCTGCGCCTCTAGAAAGAAGGCAGCTCTAGGATGTCGGAGGTCGTGGACACTATTAGCGGCTGCCAGGCCAGCAGGCTACTCCAAGCTTCTGCAGTCACTTACAGATGGCAGAAGAGAGCAGCCCGCGAGGTCTGTTCAGATCACACATGGGATAACTATAAACTCAAGTCATGTGGGACCGAAAGGGCCAATACCCAGGATAACTGAAAATGAAATGAGTTTTTCCAAACTGCTGCCTTTACTTATCGTTTTACTACGCACTGCGAGGGTGCTTTTCATTCGTGCGCAAATCCCTCCCTAGAGCCTGTGACGGACGGCAGGAGGTGACTGCCGAGGGCACCATCAAACTGTGAGCACACCTGCGTCCATCCGCTCTCTGCTGCAGAAACGTAGACCCAGACCCCTGCAAACAGGCCTGAAACAATGATCAGTGTGATGCTGTGACAGGCACCGACCACAAGGGGCAGCAGCAGCATGCTCCCCTCTGCAAGCCAGTACGCTGGCCCAGGCTTCCTAAACATTCACCGCAGGGGCTAGGCATGGCTCAGGGCTGTGAGCACTTGTCCAGCACAGCACAGCCCAAAATGGAAAGAGAAATGTTTTATATTCACCACAAATCTTCTTCCCCCAGAGAAGCAGCTCTAACTATGTGAGAAGGTCCAGCTTTGTGTCATGGAGTGTCAGGGACAGAGGAGTCTCCGAGCTGTGGCATGACACAGGCCCTGGGCAACCAAGAGCACAGTCTCCTGGAAATTCAGCTGCTCTGGTCACACAGCGAAGGGGTTTATATTCCACACAAGCACGTGCTGAGCGCTACAGCATTATCCTCCCGTTTGGAACTGAAAAGAGTACATATACCATCCTCACTGGGGACGCCCAGGCAAGGACCAGAAGGCGGCCTTACGAGAGTCAATGCAACAGCTAACAGAGATACATTTTCTGCAGAGCCACGTTACAAGCATGTGGGGCAGTGACCCACACAGAAGCCCTCCTAAATGCCCAATTGTCCAATGAAGCTAGGTGTCAAACAAGTCCAGCTGACATAAAAAAATTACACGAACACTAGTTATTTCTATTAAACTAAATAGATTGTGCTCAATCTATGTTACTTCATAATACATGTTACCTTCTGTGGGGCGTTTACCCACCAACCCCACAGCTCCCCAGAGTTTTCTTGAGTGCGAGCAGCAGGAAATATTAGATAGAAGGATTTGGATTGTGGAGATAAACAGAAAATACAGGATAGCCTCAAGAGAGCCTGGAACCTATTCCAACAGGCCCTGACTGTCTGCCTCAGGGTTTTTATAGAGACGCCAAGGGGTGGAGCAAAAGACCTCCTCCCCCAGCACAGCCAAGTGCAGACCATCTCAGACACCTGCATTCTGGCCCGTGGTCCTATGTGGACCTGCTGGGTAAAGCCACGAGGAACCTGAAAACAGGCTCTCACAACCTTCTAATAACCCCGAAGGGATACTGAAAACTACTTACAATGGAAACAGTGGCAGGAAGGCTATGTGACTTACCTAATGTAAGGCAAAGTAAGGCCTGTCTGAAAGTGTCTCTGACTTTAAATACTACTCACACAGATCACAATCCAACAAACTCTTTTAAGGGTCCTAACATACTAAATAAGTTAGGACACATATAATGGTCATGCAGTCTGTGGTGCAGCCATTCAGTCAAAACACCCAGCAGTCCGACAGTGGATAAGCACATGGGTATTGCTGCTCTCCAGTCTCACAGAAGGCCAGCTTGCTAACAGTTAATACAGGACACAGACGGTAAACCACAGTCTTGTACCAAACCCAGTTTCCACCTGTTTTTGTAAATAAAGTTTTACTTACAGTCTCTATCCAGCCATCAACAAGACTAGTTCTAGACAACGGAGGGAATTCACCCATCACAGTGACCGATGTCAGATGTCATGGGAACGCCCTTGGGAGCTTTCAAGATCCCTGAGTCCAGGATCTACTGCCGCCTTGTCAATGTTCTGGTTCCTGATCTGTAGCCTGTGTGATTCAGGCTTCCAGGTGGGAGTGCCTTTTATTTTAAGCTTCGTTGACATGTTTATTGAATTTTTTTGCACAATGTAATTTTGATTGATTGCCCCCCTGCACCCATTCCTCTCCACCTCCCTACCCACCCAATTTTATGCTTTCTCTCTTTCTTTAAAACAAAAGCAAAACAAAAAACACACTAATAAACAAAAACAAAACTCTACAAAAACACACACAAAGGAATCAAAACAAACAAACAAAAGACCAATATGACATATAAACCAACAAAAATCCCAAACAAAACAAAATGAGGCAAAATGCCTACACAAAACACCACTGAGTTTCTTTGCAGCTGGCCAACTACTCTTGGGCATGGGGGCTACCTGGAAGTGTGGCTAATATACCCAGTGAGATTCCACTGGCAAAAACTGGCTTTTCCTCTGCCAGCATGCACCAACTACAGACAGCTTTCTTCGTTGGGGTGGGACTGTGTGTCCGGGACCTGTGCGGGTCTCATGCATGCTGCCACAGTCTCTGTGAGTTTTTATGTGCCTCAGTCCTGTGGTATCTGGAATGGGAGTGCCTCCTGAAACACCCAGCACTCTGGGCAATCTCTCACTGCAAAGGACAGACGTTTTCCATCATGTCAATCAAACAGCCATTCATTTTTCTGGAAAACTCAACACCCTCAGGGAGCTAAACAAGCCAAAAGGAGAGCCTCACCCTGAAAAGACAGCGACAGAGGACTAAGGTGCGGCGTCTGAACAACTTTTTTGCTCATCCATTCATTTAGGGGTGCTGCAAGTACCTGCTCTACTGAGCAGAAGCATACAGACTTCAGACTAAAGAGGGAGATACGTTACACGGAGCAAATCTTTTGACAACCTGAGCTTGGCAATCTCTACTTCAAGTAGGCAGACAGACACAGACAAATGGTGCTCATTTCCTGTCAAGAACAGTCATGGGAGCAGAAACTAAAGGCTATGAGGGCAGTAACTCCAGGGCCTCCTGCAGGGCCCTAAGCACCTGGTTCAATGCCTGGAAACAGCAGGAACTCCAAAGATATTTGTCTTCTATATTATCATAGGTTACCTCCATGGCTTTTGACAAGGTGGAATGTGAGCAGCAGCCCGAGAGTCACATTCCCCAACTGTCCTGTTAAAGACATCAATTTCTCCATACCTGGATTGTCTGGTAATCAGAAGCATCGATCCCCTTCACCGTCACCTCTCGGAAAACTATGGGTTCCAGTTCCTCTTTGGTAAGATCACAGTGGTAAATGACACCTAGGAGAGGAAGTCTCAGGTTAGCCTCCAAGTCTCATGGAACACAAGGGCCACAAGGATGCTAGGTACTACCTGAGGCTACCAGGCAGGGCCGTAGCCCATCAGCACCCTGGTAGGTGTGTCAAGCAGATGAGAAGAGTCTGACCTGAGCGGTACCCTGGAGGAGCGGAGGTCTCATCAGCACCACCGCCTACTGCCTCCCCCTCCAACACTGTGACCTCACTGTTCACCGTTAACGGAATTGCATTTGCAGTCTCCTGGGAGCCACACCCTGGGAGTTCCTGGAGAGCATTTCCAGAGGTTTCACTGGGGAAGGAAGACTCCCCACAACTGTAGGTGGTGCCATCCCATGGACCGGGGTCCTGGACTGAATATAAGGGGGAAAAGGAGGAAGGCAGCTGACCACCAGCATTCATCTCTCTCTCTGCTACCTGATCTGCTCTCGTGTGAGCGAGGAGCCAACTCTCAGGCCTCCCCACTGTCTCAGTTACTTTTAGATTGCAGGAATAAAACACCACGACCAAGGCGACTTACGAAAAGGGTTTAATCTGGCTCAAAGCTTCAGAGGGTTAGAGTTCATGATGGTAGAGTGATGGAACAGTCCAGAGCTCACATCTTGATCCACAACCGTGAGGCAGAGAGAGACTGGGAATCCCACCAGACTTCTGAAGCCTCACAGCCCACCCCCAGGGACCACCTCTTCCCACGAGGCCACACCTCCTGATCCTTCCCAAACACTTCCACCAACTGGGGACCAAGCGTTCAAATAAAGGAGCTATGGGGGCCGTTCTCACTCAAACCACCACACCCACCATGATGGATCACACACATTAAACTGTGAGCTTTCTGTCCAGCATTGTGTCACAGTAACCAGAAAAGTAGCCAACACCAACAGCAACCTGAGCACTCACTGCAGAAGGCTGGCACACGTTGGGGGATCTAAGAAAAGGTAGAATACCGAACTGACCTCAACAGCTTTTCAACCAAGTCAGGTCACAGGGAATGCCACCCCCTCAAGCGCCCCCAAAATGAAAAACTCATCTGCAGTCATTTACCTCAAGGACACTGCTGGGAAGCCCCATGATCTACTCAAGGTCTACAGCCTCTCCGGGGTCTCCTGACCAATCAATCCCTCTGGGGCTGTGCTACCTGACACACACCCAGCCAAGGACACACATGTAGGCAGCAACCAGGAACCAAAGGTGATCCATCACATGTCATTTCAGAATCCAATTTCCAACTCTGTCCCAGTAATTGTGCATGATACAAAATAACTAATATATACCAGGAATTCCAGCATATTAAACCACTAATGAAAATTCTGCTTCCTGAATTTAATACTACCCTCTTAATATTTAAGAATTACTTCGAAGAAACAACTAGACAACGCAGTGCTGTAGTTGAGAGAGTGAGCCAGAGAGGCTGGTATGGAAACGGTTCCTCCTGTACTTTAAACATAACTGTCAAGTGTGAGAAAAATCAGTCCTGGGACCCCAGTGCTTGCTGGGGTCCCACGGGACACAGTGAAACCGGCTGCTCATGGATTAAAATGGCAGCTCTCTTTCCTTTTAACCTCTCTGTAGGTATTTCTCTAGCAGCTGAGAAACAATATTCTGTATGTATGTATACAACTATATGACAGTGAGTGAGGGTTTTTAAATCAGTACAGGGTACCTACCACACACACACACACACACACACACACACCCCTAAATCAGGGAGAAAAAGATGTTCCAAACATTGCAACAAAAACAAGACGGAATAATGAGCAAGCACGTGCCTCATGATCACCTGATTCGCCTTGATGTCACCACAAATAATGAAGGATTTGGAGGCTAGAATTAAGAGCTCAGACAAGCCACCAGGAACTGGAATTAAATTCCCCAATGAAAGACGGAGAGGAACAGGCAGATTCTACATTGCTGTTTATTCAGATAAGCTGAGATACAATTCTAAAAGCAGAATGAAATGAATACACAACAGAGGCTGGTTATCATTAAAAGGAGTGACCCATACTTCTCTCCATTCTGTATAAATGCACACAAATGGTTCCATGAAGGAGGGAGGCATAAGCTTGATGGTTTCTATGATAAATGTATGTTATCAATATTCCCTGGGTTAGCCCAGGTTAGTCTACTGCACACTCTTAATACTATAATGTGAACTACTGTAACCTACTGATACATCATGTCTCACCTGATCTTGTAGGGAAAGGACAGGGAAAGTGGCCTTGAAGAAAACATTCTGGACCACAAACAGCAGAAAGCTGTCTAAAAGTGAATTCAAGATTGAAAGAACTCCATTACGGAAGGAGTGTTTGGCCTTAAGATGTTTCCTGATGAAAGTGATGTCATTACAACAGTAAGATGAAGACAGGGAGAGAGCAGCTGGTGTGGGCTGAGGATGGACAGAGACAAGGAAAGCAGCTGGTGTGGGCTGAGGACAGAGACAAGGAGAGCAGCTGGTGTGGGCTGAGGATGGACAGAGACAAGGAGAGCAGCTGGTGTG